CTGCTGATTGAGCTGTGGAGGCAGGATTTCCAGGAAGGGAATTGGCAGGACACAGGAGGAGAAGAGGATGACATGGCTGTCCTGGGGAAAGCATTTAAAGGAGTGGCCTTCCCTGACAAGGCTGTCTTGGCCAGCTTCTATGAAAAGCGCATCCTGGGCACCACCGGAGACATGGCCAGGATGCGGGAGATGGTGGAAGGCTTTGCAGATGACTTGCTGGAGGCCTTGAGGAGTGTTTGTAACCGGGATGCTGACATGGAAGTGGAGGACTGCATGGGTGTGGGGAGCATGTACGAGAATTGGAGAGTACGTAAACCTTTTGTCTGTGATCTGATAGTGCCTTTTGCCCCCCCGGAGCCATACTGTTTCCGGTCCCAGACCTGGTGCTCTGGTGACTCTTTTCCCCCCGATGAACAAGGATATGGCACTATCAAGGTATGCAGGGCAGATGAGGATGTGACAGGTTGCATCTGTGACAAGACTAAACTAGGGGAAGATATGCTGTGCCTCCTCCATAGCCAAGCCAATACTACCAGGCCCAGCAGTGAGATGGAAGACCTCCTCTGCTTCAAAAATACTCAATATCTGGATGCTGACCAAGTCATGAAGTGGTTCCAGATCGCGGTCACCAAGGCCTGGAACAGAATCTCCCACAAGTATGAATTTGACCTTTCCTTCAGCCTCCTGGACTCACCAGGAGCCCTGAAGATAAAATTTAGGTCAGGGAAATCAATTGCCTTCAACCTCACCCCTGTGGTGCAGTACGAGAACTCTGACATTTACTTCATCTCTCATTTCCCTCGGAGGGGCCTGGCAGCAGACCTCCCATCCAGCACTCACTGGTTTCTCACGTTTGCAGTGTATGAGAGGAGGTTCATCCAGTTGGTCTCCAAAATGCTGCCTCCTAATGCTTGCCATGTCAGCTGCCTTCAGATCCTCTCCTTCCTCCATGGGAAGCAGTGCAGCCTCACGGGTCCAAGTGGGCTCACCAACTACCATCTGAAGACAGTGATGCTGCATCTCCTGCAGGCACGTTCCAGCCAGGACTGGGCTCCGGAGAAGTTGGAGGCCCGTCTACAGGACATGCTGAAATTCCTGGAGAAATGTTTGCATGAGAAGAAGCTCTACCACTTCTTCATTGGCAATGGGAAGGTACCAGCAGAGCTGGGATTCCCCATCATATTCCAGAGGGCTGAGCCTCTCAACCTTTTCCGTCCCTTTGTGCTACGCTGGGACATTTACAGGAAGACAGTGGACACATTCCACGAGATGCTCAGGAACATGTCTGCACTAATAAATGAATACACAGTGCACGTTCCCCTTGCACACACCAATGGGATCCATAAGGAATCTTTGTAACCAAAGCCAGCAGGAAAACACTTGTTCCTCTAAGCAAAAGTCCAGAGGGCAGCTTTCTGAAGCATCCTGGAGACAACTGACTTTGCCAGTACAGCTTCTTGTCTGCAACTGAACCGGTCCTGGGCCATGGTTTCTGCAGTAAGGGAGAGGGGATGGGGAGGGGAGGATAGGGAGAAACTGGAAGATGTGGTATAAAAGTAAGTTTCTGCTCCACTGGTGTGCTGTCTGGGTTTTATGCAGCTAAGAATATATTTTTCTATTGTGCCTCAGTCACGCTACAGTGGTGGTGAGGAACAAATATGACTAATTTATTTGCCTGCAATGCAAACGGTGGTGGTGGCCAAATACTTCATTTCCTTTGGAAAAGGGAGATAAGAAAAGGGTGGAGGAATCAGAGACAGGATCTTGGGATCGAAGGAGCCTGTCTGCTGGCACACAGCAGGAGCTCTGCAACCCATGGGAAGCGCAGCATAGGAGTCAGTGCTGATGTGGGGAGGAGGGACATGCACAAGATCTGGAGTGGATGGAGATCCTTAAATCAACCACAGCTCTTTAATTGAAAGGTAACTGTAGCTATAAAAAAAAAAAAAGCCTTGATAGGACTTGCAGCAGCAGTTTAAATGGCTTGTCCTGTCCTTCAAGAACACCCCTGCACCCTGCACATTTCTTCTCCCTGGGGAGGACGTAGCAGAGCAGGCAGCAGGGACTGTGTCTTCAGACCATTTAATTCAAGTCTTCCATTTTCTTCATGGTAACATGGCTAGTGGGTTATATTCCTGGCCATTTTCCATGGACAGGAACCTTTTTTACCTCAGATAAAAGAGAGAAACACCATTATTGGGTTCTGGTGGTTTGGGGTTTTTGTTTGTTTTCCTTACTTCAGGGCAGCAAGGCTGAGAACAGCCAGGAGAGAAAGGGCTGCTACAGGTTTTGCTTTCATAAAAGAAGCAGTTGTCCAAAATTATCCTGCAATGAAGCCAATCTCAGCAATCTGGTAGCAGGGGGGAACAATCATCCTCCAAATGAGAGCGTGCCTCTCCCAGCATGGTTTTAATGAGGCCAAGGCCAGCAGGATGGCTCTGAGTTAGGAGGGGATGAGAGAGATGCACGTGGAGCAGAGCTTGGCAGCGCCATCTCTGCAGCTGCCTTGTGGTCTGTGTCGCATCCCTTCTGCTCCCAGACAGCCAGGCAAAAGCTACCTGTTTGCCTCTACATAGGGTCTCCTCGATCCTCTTAAAGACTTCTGCTCCGATGAGGCTCCGAGGAGGTGCTGCTCGCAGACCATAATTTGCTGAGCTGGGAGTGCGATGGGGAAATGATGGCTGCTGCAGGCTTCCAAGCCAGGGGACAATCTCAAGGCATGTGCTAAAAACCCAATGCAGAAATGGAGATGCTTGAACTCCCTCAGGAGGCAGCATGTTAGTGCCGTGCCAGCAGGCTGCCCAGCCCCGGTGAGGTGGCTTCACTGGAGGAGAGGGCTCAGTAGCTCCTCACCCTCCCTCACGTGCTCTCTGCAGGATCCAAGCCAGGGCTTCAGTGCTGATCTGCTTCATGCTGGTCCCGGAGGCCTGGCCTCTAGTGCTAAGGGGCCTCTCCTACCATTTTCTTACACCAGGATTTCTTGCAATGTTTTACACTAGGGCTTCTCTGAATCCTATTTACAAGAGGGTAGTTGTTGTGTGTGTTGGGACCCATCAGGGATGATATTACCATTGACTCCATGGATCCCTTTTTATCAATCCTCTCTATCACATGCATCAGAGAGAAGATTTAATCCTGTATCACTACTAGGGACAGCATACAGCATGAGGCTTGTTATAGAATCATAGAATCATTTGGTTGGAAAAGACCTTTAAGATCATCAAGTCCAACCATACCTGTCCACCACTAAACCATGTCCCTAAGCATCTCATGTGCCTGTCTTTTAAATACCTCCAGGGATGGGGACTCAACCCCTTCCCTGGGTAGCCCCCTCCAGTGCCTAATAGCCCTTTCGGTAAAGAAATTTTTCCTAATGTCCAACCTAAACCTGCCCTGGTGCAACTTGAGGCCATTTCCCCACCTCCTATTGCTTGTTATCTGGGAGAAGAGACCAACCCCCACCTCGCTACAGCCTCCTGTCAGGCAGTTGTAGAGGGCGATGACATCTCCCCTCAGCCTCCTCTTCTCCAGGCTGAACACCCCCAGGTCCCTCAGCCACTCCCCCACTATTCCTGATACAAGCTAGGATGCCATTGGCCTTCTTGGCCACCTGGGCACACTGCTGGCTCATACTCAGCTGGCTGTGAACCAGTACCCCCAGGTCCTTTTCCGCTAGGCAGCTTTCCAGCCACTCTTCCCCAAGCCTGTAGCGTTGCATGGGGTTGTTGTGACCCAAGTGCTGGACCCGGTACTAGGCCTTGTTGAACCTCATACAATTGGCCTCGGCCCATCGATCCAGCCTGTCCAGGTTCCTCTGTAGAGCCTTCCTACCTTCAAACAAATCAACACTTCCACTCAGCTTCATGGCATCTGCAAACTGACTGAGGGTGCACTCAATCCCCTCATCCAGGTTGTTGATAAAGATGTTAAACAGAACTGGGCCTAACACCGAGCCCTGGGGAACACCACTTGTGTCCAGCCTTTCAATATGCAAACTCTCCATAGATGTGTCACCTCCTCCCTTTTCCTGGTAAAAAGCATTTCACCACCTCCTTGATGTCTGTTCTTGTCTGTTGCTCCACCAGTGAGGGACACTGCATGCACAAAGGGGGAGAAAGCTGCAACTCCCATTTCCACACCTGGTTCATAGGAAAGCACAGGTGGGGACAGAACTCTCTGCTCAAATTGCTGCTCCCCTTAGCTTTTATCATCACAGCTGTAGGGTGGTTAAGCAATATTTCTGAGCAGAAAGTAAGGGGTAGGAAGCAAAACGGGAGAGAGATGAGGCTGGTGGGTAACACCAGTAGGAAAGAGTCTTGGATCATCAGTGCTTGCTTCAGCAGCCTTGGTGGTGAGTGCCTGGGCGACTGCCAGGGCTGGCAGAGCAACAGGGCAGGACTAATTGCTAACGCTAAAGAGTGCTGTAAGCCCCTGGTTTTCATTAGCATAACCAAGCAAGCCTTCCCCAGTAGGAAAAAGGGCAGGAGCAGTCTCGGGGGACACAGCAAGCAGGTAATGACAAGTAGAGGTACAGGGAGGGTGGGTGAATACTGGAGCCTGGAGGCTACATTGGAAGCTGTGTAAGTTGTTTGCAAACCTGAGCAATTTGCCATTTTTACCTGCCCAGGTTCCTGCGTGGTGCCTGTAGCAGATCCAGCTCTGCATGGGCTGCCGGCAGGCAGGTCGTGCTGAAGCAGTTGTGGTCAGAGTTGCTTCTAAATGTGTTCCCAGCCAGAGAGCAATAAAAATTTCTCTGCTGTTTCCTCTCAGGAGTCTAAATTTAGCCTGTCCAAAGAACAGAAACAAATTTGTGACCCAGGTCTCTCAGGAAATGACATTCAGGGTTGAAAAATAACTTTTTATGTAAGTTTGAGCAGGGAGAGGATGAGAAGAAAAGGCTGTTGAACAGAATAAGGTAACTCCCCTGTTAAAATGTCAGAACAAAGCTTTGTAACACCAGTCCTACGGGCTTGTAAACGTGCCTAAACTTGTCTTTACACAGCTCCCAGCACTGCTGCTCAGACTCAAAGGGAACCTAAACTGATAAGTGGATTGAATCTTTTGTTCTTCATTTTCCGTATTTGTGTGCCTGTTCTCCCTTAAGCCCAAACCAACCCTGAAGTCTTCCCACAGGGTTGAGCTGAACCCAAGCTGGAGCTGAACCAAGGAATTTAGGGATTTGATGCCCCTGAAAGCAAATTGCTTGGCTTAATTTTCCTACATGCAAGATGCTCATTTTGCCCTGAGCACCTTTTCAGAGGTCTGTTCTGCTGTGAGGTAACGCAGTCATACCTATCCAGGGGGAGAAGTGCTCTGTGATTATAAGCTGGACTCCAGTAAGCCTCAGGGCAGAGATCTTCTTTGCAAGCCATATACCAGTATATATTCTAGAGGTATATACGTGTCCTGTGGAGGAGCTGTGGGTACACAGCATGTCTCTGGATCAGACCTCTGCGGCGGTACAAGGAGGCCATGATGTGAAGCACATCATCCCTTGGACCGCCTTGTCTCTCCTGTATTAAATCTTTGCCCACCAAGTACTAGCCCTGTCAGTAAAAGGCCACACATTGCATAAAAAAGGTTTATAAGACAGTTCAGCTCCATCAGCTGTCAGCCAGTAAAAATGTCCTAAGACATTTTAGTGCCGCCCAGGTTTAGTTCTGCCTTAATCGAAGTCTGGGTGAGCATTCATAGGAAGCAGCTCTAAAGGGAGGGGGTGGAAGTGGGGTTTTGTGGTTTAATGTGTCTTTTAAAACCAAATAGCATGTGACACGTGAGTAAAAAACATCTCTTTGGTAATGCCTGTGTCTCTGTGAGAGATCCTAGGCGTGCCATGATGTGAAGCCCATCCTCCCTTGGCCCGCCTTGTCTCTCCTGTATTAAATCTTTGCCCACCAAGTACTAGCCCTGTCAGTAAAAGGCCACACATTGCATAAAAAAGGTTTATAAGACAGTTCAGCTCCATCAGCTGTCAGCCAGTAAAAATGTCCTAAGACATTTTAGTGCCGCCCAGGTTTAGTTCTGCCTTAATCGAAGTCTGGGTGAGCATTCATAGGAAGCAGCTCTAAAGGGAGGGGGTGGAAGTGGGGTTTTGTGGTTTAATGTGTCTTTTAAAACCAAATAGCATGTGACACGTGAGTAAAAAACATCTCTTTGGTAATGCCTGTGTCTCTGTGAGAGATCCTAGGCGTAAACTGCCTGTCCCGGACCTCTTTCTTGTGTCTCAGTGCTGTTCTTGCTATTTGCTAACCAGGTTAATTTAACAGATGAACTCCAGTTGCCTTCTGCTGGTTTCCAACCACTCCCTCCACCCTCAGCTTGTGGTTTTAATATTTTATTATAGGCTCTGTCAAAGCGATGGAATTAGTGGTGGCTTGATAGTAGCCACTGATCTACAGCATACCCTCAGGAGCCATTTGCCTTTAGGAAAAGTCTTGGTTTAAGGTTCTTATCATTCTTCAGGAGCTGAATGTCTTCTAAGGGGAGCTGTTGGGAGTTCACTCTTTCGTATGTGGCAACCATAGAATATGGCTTCTTCCTCTCCGAGTTGCTCTGTATACAGGTCTTCTGGGGGTATAAAGACGTATTTCAGCAAAGAGATCCAAAACTTTATCCAGTATTCAAGCAGCAGGATTTGGTGCTTGTTCACCAGACATTTTTAATGCAAAGCCTTTGCAGTGTTTTCTCTGTGGTGAAGAAACGAGGCTTTACCCACCTCTAACAGCTTAGCTGCTAGTCATTGAGGGGTGAGTTCTCACAGGATCCTACATAGTAAATAGCTTTATTTATTACTTGTCTTTTTTTTTTTTTTTTAGGATTGGGGGTGTGTGTGTAATATGTTAGCTCAGAAGCAAAACTGCAGTATGAAGATCAATCTTGGCAATGCAGCTGAGATGGGCAATAACACCAAAACTCTCCAAACTAAGGTCTTCCTTGATTGACAATGCTGTACTCAAACCGCTGCTTTTATAGCAGGACACTGTTGAATTTGTATAGATCTTCTCATGCAGCTTTATTTATAATAAAGGAAGTCTTGTACAAAATCTAAAGAAGTCTGTTTTGTTTCTAGTTCCCCCCAAAGTGTTTCTGAGAGAGCAGAAGGATGGAGTGGGGACATGCCCAGTGTGAGCCTAACACAGCCAGCTCAACAGCAAGAAGCCCTGTGATTTCTGACTACCGGTAGAAATTGTTCCAGAATAAGATGCAACGTGAACATAAAGTGGAATAGCTATTCCAGAATAATGCCAAGGATATCAGACTTCCTGAGAATATGAATCCACAGGAATTCAAAATAATTATGCTGGGTATCTCTGCTCAAAAAACACCCTTTTGTGGCAAGCCCTAAATATTGCTGGTAGATGTTGCCCTTATTGGCTGAACCAGAAATCTCCTGAATTTCCAGTTCAGCTAGAGGAACCCTCTCTACCTGCTTGTTTTACAGGTATCCACAGCCAAGTTCCAGCAACCACCCACAACCACTTAGCCTCCTGCTTAACCCCTCTCCTTGGTTTAAGGGAATGGCACCTCATTAATATTCTAATGTGCTCTGGCTCTGCAAGGAAATCCAAAGCTAGTTATGAATTCATGTAATTAGAACACCACTGTTGCTTTGGCAACATGTCTTCCAGCCCTACAGAATGCTCTGCACACCTTTGACAAATAACTCTGCCTTCCAGTGATCGCTGGGGCTGAGTCAGCATTGAACAGGTCTGAGAAGCAGCTGGCTTAAGAGCTGCAGCACAAGTCTACCTAG